CTATACAACTAGAAATTGTAAGTGTAGAAGAGTCGAAATTCTGTTTGTTTGTTTGTGTGAAATTTTATTATTAGGAAACAATCCAAGTCAGATCAACAATTGAGAAAACTTTTCTCTCCACAGTTCACCCCTTTAATAATCTAATTGGGTGCAGACCTACCAATAGTGAAGCTTTGGTATTGTGACTTTGTGTATGCAATTTATGCCTGAGAGTAAGGCCCATTTAATGCAGTGAGACTCATTTTTAAGGAGATGTACATAGGATTGCAGTCAATGTTCATAATCGTTAATCGGCACAAACTCATTAAATCATTAATTGGCACAAAGGAAGGTCCATAAATCACAAAGATGTGAAATATATAGAGTTCTTATTTTCTTTCTCATGGTTAAGAACACACTCCTCTCACATTTCTTTTGCACACAATAATGAAGTTATAAAGTTTTTTTAATTAAAAAAACTGTTAAAGAACAGTTGAATGTGTTTTGTATAGTTACTTATTGGTGATTGGCTTTGAATAGAACATTATTTTTAAAAGCAGGATAAAAATCTGTGAAATACCTTAAAAACATTATTTTAAGGTTTGAACACAAATTGAACACTGAGGTTCACATACTTATGTAACAGTAATACCCGGATTCCTGATGGCGATGCTTCCTGAGCTAAAATGATCACACGTCTATTAAGCAAGGAACGGTTGGGCGTCTCAGTGTCTCAAGTATCGGGACTCACTTTGCAATTTATTCCATCATATTTCCATCAGGCTGGGCCTCCCCCCCCCTTCCAGCATATACTAATATTGCCATGTACTACTGGAGTAAATTAGTTTTAAAAAATTGAGTCAAAGGAAGGAAGGAAGGAATGCAGCAATTTTTGGAACAAACAAAGCAGATAATTGCCAGTGCATGAAATGTAATTTGAAACAGCTGCGTCAAGCTTCCAGTAGCACTGAAAATTGATGCTCACCCGCTGTGCTTATAAGTAGGCACGCTAAAAGCAACTGCTTGCTTCAAGAAACATAAACTACTTCACACTTTGTCCATTAACCTTACGAAGAATGGAACCTGAAGGCAGCAACACTTTGAAGCTGCACATTGCTATTTGACTAATATGAAACAGCTGGCAAGTTAAAAGAAAAACATGGGCTTGGCCATGCAATGTCAGGTTAGATACACCACCTGGCGGCTGTAAACACATATAGCAAGCAGAGCTGAAATGAATTCCCATAAATGTTTAAAATGGCAGAGTTTTCCGTTTTCCCACATTAATTTTTCTCAGGAGACCATTTCAAGCAAGTTTTAATTTGCATTTTGAATTGGACACTTGAAAGTAAAACAGTTAAAATGCATATTCTTGACTCGTGGCTGTTCTGATTTTGTCAAGCTTCATCAATAAAGAATATACGCTGTCATCAGCAAATAACATCTACATTTATCTACCAAATACTGTCAGTTATTAAAAAAACCAACTGTCTGGAAGCCCTACCCTCTGACATGGAAAGCCTCATTCCTGCTGTGTTGAGGCTCCCTGTTGCTCTCTGATGACAGGAATACACTCTAGGGCAGGGCTGAGGAACCTCTGGCCCTCCAGATGTTGCTGCACTACAACTCCCATGATTTCTGACTATCGGCCATGCTGGTTAGGACTGATGGCAGTGAGAGTCTGACAGAATCTGGAGGGTCATAAGTCCCTCCAGCCCTGCTTCAGGGCAAGGGTAGGCAGGCTTCAGGTTTGCATAATTTAGTGTGGGCATTCTTTTTCAAAACTAGAACCTCACAATCCATTATACACAGAACAGGTTCAGAGGCCAGTTAACCAAGACAAACGTACTAGAGATCATAGATTCTACTAACAAACCCTACAAATGACTGGCCGAGCCCTGGTCAAAAGCAACAAAGCAGTAACACTCTGATTCTTCATATTATGCCAAGAGATGTGTGATTTGTATGAGGCCAGCCACTGCCTCTGTAGCAGAATTTTTTATATATATAATTGCCAGAGAGAGGGGGGTCTGTACGGAGCGGTTAAATCTCAGTTGTGGAATGCTTTCCCCAGAGGAGCTTGTTGCAAGCCTACTTTACTGCCTTTTTGGCCTCGGCAATGAACTTTTATGTTTCCCAGGCGATATATATATATATATATATATATATATATATATATATATGCTTTCGTAGATTTTCACGGGTACAGGAATGCAGGTTTTGGTGTCCTCGGGTGTCTTCCCGTGTAAAAGTTGGGGTGTCTAGGCGACGTTTCGACGAGGTCTCACTCGTCATCTTCAGGCTGGTGCTTTCGGCTTCTTGTTACTGGAACAGAGCGGGATCTCAGTGTTTGAGTTCCTATAAATACTGTTGAGGAGGTGTGGTGTATAGCCTCCAATGTTCTGGGCAGAGAGGAAGTTCCCAGGCTAGTGTGCCTTTTCTTCTTTTGTTCCTTAATTACTTGAGGGATATCTTGAGTGATTTCTTGAGTGATATCCTGAGTACCACTTAGGTGGGTCATTAGGTGTGGATTAGTTGCTAAAGCCTTCGTGTTCAAGAGGTCAAGACACGAAGGCTTTAGCAACTAATCCACACCTAATGACCCACCTAAGTGGTACTCAGGATATCACTCAAGAAATCACTCAAGATATCCCTCAAGTAATTAAGGAACAAAAGAAGAAAAGGCACACTAGCCTGGGAACTTCCTCTCTGCCCAGAACATTGGAGGCTATACACCACACCTCCTCAACAGTATTTATAGGAACTCAAACACTGAGATCCCGCTCTGTTCCAGTAACAAGAAGCCGAAAGCACCAGCCTGAAGATGACGAGTGAGACCTCGTCGAAACGTCGCCTAGACACCCCAACTTTTACACGGGAAGACACCCGAGGACACCAAAACCTGCATATATATATATATATATAATCCTGCTGCTTTATGCTTTTTGTTGCTTTTATCATACTTTTTAAAAATATTAAAATGCAAATGCATTCTTCTTGTAAACCACCCTGGGAATGTAGGTGTAGGGCTGTACAAAAATGCTGCCAAAAATGCTTAATATCATAGGCAGGGCCACAGAACTGAGAAACAAGGGACCTCAGGACACAAGCTGAGCCCAAGAATGGTACCAGGGCCCACTGTCTTTCCATTAAAATAACCCCCACTCCAACTGATCCCCTCCTCCTTGTGCTCCAGCAGCCCACTTCACAAAAAAAGAGCCTGTTGTGTTGGTGGTTGCTTGAAATTTGGGAGTAGCAGGAGCTGACTGATGGAGAATTATTTTGCACATCTTCTTCCCTGGTCCAGGGTGGGATCTGCAGCTATTCAATCCCAGGATAGTTGAGGAGTGGATATGGCATCAAAAGGGAAACTAGAAGCTACCCTGAGAACTCCCCAGTGATGCTGAAATATGCTGTTACCACATACCGGTACTTCTCAGCCAATCAATTAGATGTGCTGTATCAGATGAGGAAGGGATGTAGTTTAGCATGCTTTTTTTCAGAACAAAATAAAACAAATCACCAAACTGGTCCATCATAGAGATGGGGGCGGGGGCAGATTTGATTCAGTTTGCATTTAAAGGAGAATTCATCAAATTCACACTGTCCAAAACATTACAAGAACCAAAACACAGCCATCCTTTGACCTCTGAATTTTGCAATGCAGGTTTCGTCTAGTAATGTTTACAAAAATGCATCTTCTGGGGTAAAGTGTGCATAAAAATGTATATATTATGGAAAATTGCTTTGCAAAAATGTGTTAGGGAAAACTGGATACAATCAAATATCATGCTAAAATGATGGGTGTTCATGAGGGTTTTGAATAAGATTCACACAGTAAAGTGGCAATGTGGAGAATGGAACTTGAGCTTTGAAAAATGAGAAAAATGAGAAAAACAGAGAAATAAAAATTGACAGATTTGCCCATCCCTAATCAACAGTTGAAAAGTTCTGCACATCCATTCTAGGATTCAGCCCTGGCACTGAAATCAGATTCTAGAACTAAGCCTACAACGAGGATAGGGGCCACAGGTCAGTGGTAGAATGCACACTTTATGCCTGCCAGGTTAAATTAATCTCATGTCTGAAATTAAGTTTGTCCACCAACATTAAAATTGGTTGTGTTCTGCTCCACAGTCAGTACTTCTAGAACTTGATATAGAATCTGTGTCCACCCCAGCTCCCATCAGCTCCAGTCTGCACAGCCAATTGTCAGGAATGGTAGTTGTAGTCCAACAAATCTGGAGGGCTACTAGTTCCCCTGCACCTCTCCTAAGACATGCACTAGAATTCTGTGTGGTCTACAAGGCCTCTGTGACCAGATATGCAGGGAATCCTTGGCAGATGTGGAAATGAATCCCTGATGACCAAGAGTCTGAAAACAAGGGTGATAAACCATTGTGTAACAACTAACACTTGTCAATACTAAAAATCATCCATTATGTATTAAGCAAATACTAGTGTGGGGGAACCAGCTCGATAACAAATATTCAGAGAATGTGTAAAAACCTGGAGAATTTTTGAGCAAAATCCAGAGATTCTGAGTTGAGGTGAAGTTATTATATATTATCTGCTCCTGATAATAGGAATGTTTCCTGTCCTCCGTTTCACAAAAGAATGGAGAACAAAGATTTGAAAATACTCTTGGGCTCACCTCACTATATTCCAAGAAGTAAGAAATTCCAGGGTCGCAGTGCTTACCCTGGTTTCGTGTTCTTTGGAAAGGCGCTAACTGTAATGCTGTTACCTTACAAAGCCCAAACACAGCTTTCTGACTTTTATTTTTTATTATTATTAATAATAAATTTCTTCACCCGTAAGGGTGAGGGCAGGTTACAACAATTTAAAATACAACATTAAAAACAGTTTAAAACAAAACATGTTGAGCGGGTGGGGTGGGGTGGCTGCTCACCTGCCAAGAATGCCACGTGCTAATGCTTAATCTGGTGCAATAGTGACACTAAGGAAAAATGTTTTTATCGTGCAACAGCTTCAACAATGCAATTTCATTTTTTTTAAAAAAAGCATTTACTGATCAGCTCCTTAAAAACTGTACTTTGTAAAAAAGAAAGTAAACCTATGCACAGATTTTTAAAACACTTTGAAGTATTAAGAGATTGTTTACTCGAGCAACACTAAATGAAGCCTTGGCTTGCCTCCCTGGCTTGGCATTCTAAAAGTTTTATTTTACAATGCCACCAGCTGCTAGTTTGGCTCTGCCAATAGCAAATAATATATTTTGGATTGCCCATCTGAATCTAGTCAGACATAAACATGGAACTAATCCTACATTGCTTGGCTACTATCCTAAATTACTAGGGGAGGGGGTCAGTATTAAACCAAACTAATATCTTTTTCCTGCTAATGCAGCACAGCTGATGCATCTGAATGGGTTTTTGTTTTTGTCTGCTTGCTTGCTTTGTACAATTGAAGATGATCAAGGAAGGTACTTTGAGGTAAATTCTCACATAAGTCTTGCTCTCCAGAGTGCTCCACTTCTGCAATGATATCATGTGTGAAGGATGTAAACCTCTCTCTCTTTGACATGGCTATACTGAAACCTGAAAGGAGGTGACATACTTGTGGAGTCACTCATAGATTGGGATAACTCATGATTTTAATCTTAGATATAATCTGTGGGAGAATCTATATGAATGACCCAGTTGCTGCTGAACTACAGCTTCCATAATCCCTGTCCATTGGCCAACTTTGCTAGCACTGATGGGAGTTGTAGTTCAGTAATAACTGGAAGGCCAAAGTTTCCCCACACCTGTTGTAAAACATCTGTAGAATAAGTATGTTGCACTAATACATCAAATTATGTAGAATCAAAATTCCCCACCCCATGCTATCTAGCAATGAAAATGGTAGAAATATGAGATACTTCATTTAACCAGAACAGATGCTGTGCATATAACTAACTTGAAGTGGAGCATGATAGGTGTTCAGAGTTGCATGAGTTCCTAAGCTATAGAGTAAAGATGATGGGATAGAAAACCTATCTGATTGTGAGGCACCGAAGCCCATAAATCACAAGCAGAAGCTTACGTAAAGATTTACAACCAATCTCTGTAACCTATCATGACATCTAAAAAGCCAGTGACCTACAAGCCAGGAGTAAATTCATCTATAAGCTCTATTGCCAAATATTGATCTCCATACACATAAACAAACTGCATTCTACATGAAGTGATAGTAGACAGTATAGCAGTTCCCAATATCAAGAACATGTATCTAAATTACAGCATTAAAAACAATTATTTTATTGAAGCTATTTTAAAAAACCATGTGAGGCAGTATAAACATTAAAATTGTAACTGGGAAGGAAGAACTGGCATTTAAAACTCCAAAAAGTTAAAACAGCAAAAAAGACACATTAAAAGTACATTTTTAAAGCTACAGGTATAGTATGAAGGTAAAATTAACAGGTATTTTATAAAAGAATTTAACAGCACATATGTAAAATGGAATCCAATGTATACAGAAGTCATAATATTCAGATGCTCCATTAACTTATGTTAAAATAGCTTTTGAACAGTCACAATGTATTTCAGATTTTACACAGCTGCCCAGTGTAGAAACAAATATTTTACAGACTTTCCCAACAGGCTGACAGCTCTCTGCCACTTATCCATGAGTAGTATCATCTTCCACAAAGTCTTTGGCCATCTCTGCTGTGATCACATCAATATGACTGACCTAAATCAGAAAAAGAAACACGGTATTGAAATCAATGAAGATGCTAGCCAACATAACAGCTCCATGGTGTTTATGAAGCACTCTCCCTCTACAGTACTGTAAATTTGTAACTGTGTAATTAATGTATGAGCCAGACAAAATCATTCTACCAAATGTTCCACACACAACTCTACATTTTGAAAACGTGCAGGAAAATCTCAGCATGCAATACTGCATCCTAAATCCAGTTCCATTTCTAACCTTTATGCTTGCAAATATGTACAGGCATCCTCCCACTTAGACACAATCAACTTGCACGTGACCACAAATATGCACGATGTCAGGAAATAAATAAAGAGATTAAAACCAGGAAATGGCAGGAGAGAGCTGGAGAGTCCTTGTGGCCAGTGAGGAGACCCTCCCCGGAGCCCTAGGAGGAATTCAGTGGGGGTGGAGGAAGCCCCAAAGAGATACAGCAGGGCTTTGTGTAGGCTGTTCATTCTCCCCACCTAGCAACTGACATGCACAGTTGCACAGCAGCCACTTCTCTGTGCAACCTCCAGTCTCCAGCTGGCCCCAGAACTTTAACTCTAGGTGTGGAGAGAGAGTGGGAAAGAGGTTGCTGGACAGCAGGGCGAAACGGGCATTTGGAGGCTTTTTAGCCCCTTACAAAATATTTGCTTATGCATGCAGGGCCCCAGAATGTAACCCCAGCGTAAGTGGGGAGACACCTGTATTTGAAAGTGAATGGACACTGCCTTGTGATGTTTCAGAAACTGGAGTGGTGAGTGTCAGAACAAGATTTCCATTACTCAGAGCTTTTAGAGTCCTGCATACCTGATCCCACCACCTATGAACAGCAAAGGCAGAGCAAAATAATCAGCCAGAGCAATTCAAACCCTGGCTGGGCAGCGGTGCAACACAATGAAGTGGCAAAGCAACCACTGTATCCACAAGCTTGTCCCTCCCAGGTGTGGGTACAGGCCATCAAGTGAGGCCAGCGGGGCAGCGCTCAAACACCCTGTTTTGAACCTACATGCCAGTGGTTCTTCTGCCAGCCTGCACTTTCAGTGGAAGAAAAAGGGAGCTCCAAGTTAATAGAGCTACACTTCACAGTCAGTGGGGCTGTTCTGGGCTGGTGGAGGATGACCATCCCATCCACACACACCACCCCCAAGTGTGACACATCACGGCTTTGGTCTGCACTCTAAATGACAAGAGTTACGTATTTTATACAAACAGCACAATTCAAACTCTTGGCACAGGATCTTTAATAGAATGGAGTTCATACTCTCCTACTTTTAGACTGTCATCTACAGAATGCAGCCTAGAAGGAGGACAGCACGTACTTTGTACTAAAAATAATAAAGGTAAAAAATAAAAATCCTCCAGTCATATGTTCTGAAATGTCTGTGTATCTAGACATCTGTGCAGTACTACCCTTGCCTTCAGTCAGTCAAATGAAGCTGAAATCTATGCAAACACTAGCAATCAAGTCACTAGAAATGTGTCAGAGGCCATCGCAGCCTTTAACATAAGCCTGTTGAATTCATGTGCCTTTATTGTTAATGAAGTGATTTATAAGCAAGTTCCAGATTTATTATTTATGGTAACAGTGTCCCATCATGCTTTGGAGGGACTTCAGCCATTGCCTACAATAATTTATTTAACACGCTTTATAATTGCATACCTTATTTCTGAATTTTACACCATAAAATTTATCAGCAGACTCGAGCAGTTCTGGCCTGAAAGTTGTGGTAATAAACTGAGCATGTTCTGCCAGTTCCATGATCATATCTGGGGAAGTAAAACAAATTTCTCAACGAACATTGAAATAATTTTCCAGGCATTTCTTTAGTGGGTAAGTAATAAAATGCAGAAAGTTCTGGTACATAACAAAGTGTGATATTAAAATGCAAGCAAATTTCAGCAATTGGCTCGAGTGGGCATCACATGACTATTCTGTAAAGTGTCATAGGAGCTCGATTTGGTCAGCATTTGATTCATCATGTATGGAATAAATGTGGAAGGACTTGGAAGAAATATATAATTGGGAATATACCAGTCAAGAAATCAAGGGGTAACTCCATCTTCCTGGCTGCTGCACTGCTCTTTTGTCATTCCAGATAATTTGCCAGAGCAGGATTGGGACTGCCACTATGAAAACTTTTCCAAGGTTGATGGAAGCAGTAGCAATAAGGCTTGGTTGAAGAAAAATGCTTTCGCCTGGTATCTAAAAATATATATAATGAAGGCACCAGCCTAATCTTCCTGGGGAGAGTATTCCACAAACAGGGAGCCACTGTAGAAAAGGCCCATTCTCATGTTGCCATCCTCAGGACGAAGAAGGGCCCCAAATGCAGAGCCCAGGTTGGTTTATAAGGTTTACACATCTTAATAAAGCCAATTACCTTCTAGAAGTCATACTCTGCCTTACTATTACAATGTCATTCGCATCAGTGAGACCCAGACCTATCTGGGGAATCCACAGAGCTAGGGAACTGGTCAACTTCAAGTGGCAAATATCTCCCTGTGTTCCTTCCTTCAGCTACAGTGAAACAGCCAACCATGTTCCCGAAAAGCATTAACAGCATTTCACTTCTGTACCCCGGAGGACAGCCACAAGTCGCACATATGCCACATTAAGCAGCTATAAAGAAACTATAATCCCAATTATTTTTATTATGAGAAGCTTTCTTTGTAACTGCAATTAGATAGAGAAGTAATATGTAGCATTGTGTTGAACAATAAAATACCCAAGACTCTACCTGAAACTGCCTTTCTATGCTGGGCATCTAGGGCTTGATCAATTTCATCAAAGAGGTAAAACGGCGCAGGGTCACATTTCTGGATAGCAAAAATTAAGGCTAGAGCTACAAGTGACTTCTGTCCACCAGAAAGCTGCTGCATCTCTCTCATTTCACCTTGTTTGCCAGTAAATGACACCTGCAGGAACAATGAAAGGTTAGTTACTGCTAATTCTTAAGCATTACCATAATATAATTTGTGGTCATGAGAGTGCAAGGTAAAATATTCCATTACCCTAATCCCAACTCCAGTGAACTGGTCTACAGAAGGAACACTACTTTGAGATCCTGATCCCTTTTCACTCTCAGCACCACCTTCACCTTCATCTTGAGATTGACTGCCTTCCACATCACCTTTCTTCATCACGAGTGTAGCTTTCCCCCCAGGCACCAGCTTCTGAAAGACTTCACTGAAGTTCTTTGAGACCTTGAGAAAGTGTAATTCAATCCATATTAATCTTTGCACAAATAACCTGAAGGCTTTTTCTGACAGTCAAATTTTGTAAAAGTAATTTAAAAGGATTTCAAAAGGTACATTGGTAAAGTATTGCCATAAGAGTTCATCCTAGAAAATCCCATCCCATCCCATTACCCGATTAAAGAAGTACTCTAATAATTGCTGATTCAGTGTTTTCAAAGTGCATTAAACACAAAGTAGCAAACTGGTGCTTGCCACTGGCGCTTGTGGCAAAACAAAAAACTTGAATGACAAAAGACTGGGGACTGTATGGGCTGGCTCCCTATACTCTGTGTGTACAAGGGACGCTACGCTTGCAACAACATATGTACACAAAGCTCCTTCACGTGTGCACAGGGGTGGGGGTGGGGATAGAGAATCTGGATTGGCTCAGGATCTCCTCTTGTGTAGAGCATTGATATGCAAGCAGAGTCTCTTCACACATGCACCAAGCGCCAATACTGCAGTTGGTGGGATCAAGAGCAGGTTTATCCTGTATCAAACTCATAGCAATTGTGGTAAACGTAGTACAGTATAAAAAATTTCTAGCACCTACAAATATTTACAATCTGGTTAGAATCTAGTCTGAGACATGTGCCTCTGTTAGGACCTTTTCATAGAGTGAATAAGTTCTTGCTAAGATTTCAGTAAAAATAAAACCAGGTGACAATTTATGAACTTTTCAAATATGAACACATGCAAAAATACATAATACAATTATTTCCAACATGTAATTCAAAGCATGTCAAACAGCCTTGTCACTCACAATGAGTGCCAAATAATACCTGTTTGAATGTCAGCTGGATAGCTTCATATTTTCTGAGTTCAAGGACATTCATCAACTCCATGATGGACTTGTAGCCCCTGTCCAACTCTTCTTGACGTTTTATCAACTTCTCCTTCTGCTCTGAGAAGTTCACAAACTGATCTAGAGCTTTTTTATTGACATGACTGTATTTTTTCAGTTCTGTGTTGCATTGTTCCAGTTTGCGAAATAGCTGTATAAAAGAATTGAGAAAATCGATCAGAGCACGGTATGAACCACCACTCACTGTCTCTGGAGATGAGCTCTCAACACTTTTGTTACCTGCTTCAGGCTCAAAGTCTGGTATTTTTCGAACGCTTCCTGGGGAAGTGACCCCAATTCCCTGATTTTCTTCATACACTCCTCCTTCTTCTTCAGAAGCATGCCTTGCCGGTTAGTCATTTTTTCAAGCTCTTTTGTGTCATGATTAATAGCATCCATGTGCTCTTTCTCCATGTTCTTCCAGCGCTCCATGCTCTTTTGGAGTTCTTTGATTCCTGCTTCTGTTTTATCAATTGAATTGTCCAGATCTAGTAAAACAAATCAAAGAATAGTATAAAAACGTATAGTTGAAATTGAGCCTTACAACTTGATATACAAAGAAAATGCAGAACATTGATAAATCTTTATTAATAATATCTATGATTTTAAAATATAACCAGGGTGGGGTGGGAATGTACTCTGGAATGTTGTTAATAAACTCCCAAAGGTGATGAAGAACAAGACAACAAAATCCAGATGTGCCAGTATAAAGAAATGAAGGTATGTTAAGATTATGTCAAGCACAGCATCCACTACAACTTCTAGCAGCAGCTTCAGAAAGAAGCCATGGAATCCATTGCACTAAGGGAGTCCAATAAGCTTTTATCCTTCTGGAGGGCTTAACGGGAAGCACAGCTAATGTGTCCAGGCTTGTGCTACCAGTTCTAGTTATTCTTTATCCTTCTTTGTACTGTATATTCTTTGAACATGATTTCATTTCAGTGTTATAATCTTTGTTAATTGTTCTTGGAATACTTTAACTGTATTTTAGAATATTTTAATAAAATATACTAGATATGACACCTTCTCTTGATTACCAACCTTCTGAGCGTGCCAGCGTATCTTTCACTCGTTTGTTGATAGCCTCAAGCTCTGATGTTGTTGCTGTAAGAACAGTGCCACCTTCTGTCTCTCTCAGCTCATTCAGCTCCTAAAAATGCAAAATGTTAACAGCATGCAAGTTCAGCCAATGCAAATAAGGAAACTATAGACTATACTACATAGAAGAGGTTACTTTTCATGGTTTACAATATATTATTGAATAGCTCATTTTTATAATTGATTAGAAATGTAGACTGCAACTTCACACCAAAAATTGCATAAAGAGAATTTATATTTGTGTCATCATAGGATTCTCCAAAATTTGTTGAATGTTGGCAGTTCAATAAATAAATATTATGTGAACATCCACTAACTTAGAGACACACCAGTAAATACCGAGTCACTGTGATGATTTTAAAATGGTTTTTAAAAAAATGTTAAGAATGGAGTGGATCAAAATAAAATATCTTACCTGTTCAACTTGGTCTAAGCGCTTTCTCAAATTCTCATTCAGATAAGTCTCGACTCGTGTGATGATCCCCTCAAGCTTGATCCTTTCATTCAAAAGCTGTCTGTTTTCCTATAAACCAAGAAATACATATGGATATACAAAAACAACTAAATATTGTTGGCTGATTGTTTTAAAAAATAATTTTATTTCACAATATTTATACATCGCTTTATGTTACTAAAACCTCAAAGTGGTTTACAAAACTAAAGTTATCAGCTAAAACTGTTTACTGGTATTTCATTAAATGCTTTACGCTCTCCACTATTTACATACATTTTTTATAAGTACATTCTAGCAAGCCCACTGAAATCTATGGGCATCCATTGATTTCAGTGGGTCAGCTCTATGCATGATGAACATTGGTATCACACTATTTTTACTACAAAATGAAAAGGTAGCAAAGGTAGAAAGTGGGGAAGTAAATAGTTTTGAACAGGCTTTTGTACATAATTTCCCAACATTCTTAATCACAGCAATTTTATTTTTCATTTTAAGTGTCCTTACTTGCTGTAGCTGTCGGATCTCATCATTAAGAGCATCAACTCGTTTCTGGTCCTCTAAACTGAGCTGCGACAACAGGTCTGTCCCCAGTTCTGCTTTTAAAGACTCCCGGGTTGATTCCATAGCATGTAAACTTGCCTCCAAACTTTGTAAGCTGCGTTGCTGAAGAAAAAATTAAATGTGAGTATCATGAAATAAGCCTTCCAGTTTATCTAATTATGTGACCTAGCAGCAAATGCCATATAAAAAAGGCTTAAACGCAATAAGCAACAACAGTGATCTCATTCATATATGTACCTACTCAGAAGTAAAATCCTACTCTGCAGCCTTAGGGACTCTCAGGGAATATGAAACTGGACTGAGAAATAATCATAAGCATTACTATTCTTTCACTTGCTTGATTCCTTTTTTTAAACCAGTTAATCTACTGGATAGCACACTGAACAATCCAGATAATGAAAGTATAATCTGCTGTGCAGGAAGAGCAATCAAAGCCCTTGAACTGTCATGCTGGAGGGGGTTTGGATGGAGCGGAGGTGGCCCTTTACTAGACTCTGCTGCTGGGGAAGTTCCACCATCGGGGGAATGCCCACTGGTAAGCACAGGATCTGCTGGATCCTGAGCAGGCCCTACTGCTGTCATATGACGGCAATTAGCCTGATTCAGCCAGGGAACTGAACTAGCAAAGGGGCGATTTTTCCCTGCTGCCGCCATGACTAGCACAAGTGACTGGGCTGTGGATGCACCGGTGGTTGCTCTATTTCATTAAACCAGCCACTGCGAGTCAAGTGTTAGGATTATAGTTGGAGTTGCAAATGTTCTCAAATATCTGTTGATAGCTCAAATCAGTAGAGCAACAGACTCTTAATTTCAGGGCTGTGAGTTCGAGCAAAATATTCCTGTATTGCAGAGAGTTGGGCTAGATGACCCTCATGGTCCCTTCCAACTCTACAAATCTATGATCCCATACCTTAGGCATAAATGTTTTCTCTGACTGCTGTCTCTTCTCTTTCAACATTTTCATTTCCGATAAGATGCTGTCTCTGGAAGCTTTGAATTTTCTTTGTTGGGTTTCAATCTGCTGCATCTGATTCATTAGCTGATCAATTTCATTATTAATCCATGCAGTGTGCTAAGGAAAAATTCTGATCATCGTGAACATTATGAATGATATAAAATCAGTATGTTATTGGTCTTAAAAAATGAATCCTTTTACAGCAATAAAGGCTGTTTACAAATCATAGCATATTAACATGGACAGAAATACTACATGCCACAACCTTCTATAAACAAATGCAATGCAAGTTACAATATGGCTGGGTATAAAATTGTACTTACAAGCTAATCACCTACCAGATGTGACCGCAAACAATCTCAAATGCACTTTTTGAGCAAAGCTCCTGGCATATTTGTTCAGTTTCTACAACACTACTGGTGAAGAGCTACTCTCTGCAAATATACTGTTAAGGCCCCCTTTTCTGTTCTAGGCCGAGCAAATCTTGACTGCTTCTTGGCAACAGAATATACCTACACTACTTTTTCTTAACAGCAACCAGCTCTTCTGAGTTTCCCAAACAGTGACCAAAGCATAAGAACGTAAGAAGAGCCTGCTGGATCAGGCCAATGGCTCATCTACTCCAGCAACCTGTTCTTACAGTGGCTGCCTCCAACTGTGGAGGAAGAGCATAACCATCATGGCCAGGAACCACTGACAGCCCTTTCCTTCATGAATTTGGCCACTGCGCTTAAAGCCACCCACGTTCATGGCCATCACTGCCTCCTGTGGGAGTGAGTTCCACAGTTTAACCATGTGTTGCATGAAGTAGTAGTTTCTTTTATCCATCTTGAATCTTCCAACACTGCTTCATTGGTTATTCATGAGTTCTAGTGTCATGAGACAGACCCCCCCACACACTTTTCTCTATCTACTTTCTCCATGCCAGGGTTACTTTTATTAACTTCTATTATGTCATCTCTTACTCGCCTTCATGCAGAAGACAAATGCATGTACACTGAGACACATACAAAACTACCAACAGCATTCACATACTATTTGTACCTCAGTCATCCATTCCCTTACACACAATGCAGTTATTTTACTGAGAAACAGGCAAATAAGCAATCCCACCAGCAACATCCTCCACATATGAACAAGCACTATGAAGGATATTTTCAATGTTTCTTCGCAGGTTTTCATTGAGCTTTGCTTCAAGTTCTCCTAGTTCTTCTTCCACCTTTCTTACATCTTTCTGCAGTTCAAGTCGAGACTTTCTTGTGTCATAATAACCCCCAGTCAAAGCCCCTCGGTGGCTGACTTGATCACCTGGGGGTGGGGAATAGAAGCTAATCTGATGTAGGGCAGGTGAGTGTGACTTGGTTGAAATGGCCCTGCCGGCCAAGTTGAAAGGCCTAGAAGAACTAGTTAGGCCTGTGGGCTGGAAATTCCCCTTCTGCTGCTTTAAAATTATTATTAACACTTACTGAAAAACATTTACAGCTCTACCTAAGTTATTCTAAAAATCAAGCAATTACATTTGTATGAACTGGCCTTTTCAATATATAGCCAGAACAGGGTTTGGGAGAGAACTAGTACACAACAAATTCAGCTTATCAGAACACAATGAATTATATATGCTTTGTTGAATAGCTGACAAAGAGCCAAGTAAACTGTGAAATCCCTTTCCTTTGCAAATAAAACTGAACCTAAGTCATACCTTCCAGAGTAATACAATCCATAGTAAAAGCTCTGGCCAGCTGGGTAGACACTTCCATACTACGACAAATAAGAGTCTTTCCAAAAACATGCTTGAAGGCTTTATCAAATCTTGGATTGTATCTTAGTTTACTGATCATAGGAATAGCATCCTGAAAGCAAGAATATTAAACAGTTAAAAAGAAGTACAAGTGTACTGCATTTATTTTCAGGTACAAAATGTATACGGTAAAAAAGCCAACCTGGTGCCAAAAATACAAATAATTGAAATGTAGAATATAATAATCTAGAATGTAAGTAAATCACACAAGGATTCCCTTAAATTAAAGGAAAATAACCTGGCTAAAAGACAGATTTAGAACGGCAACATGCAGGGACAAATGAAATACAGGTTGCATCCACCTTTGCAATCATTTTATTTGTGGCCAAAATAGCACTGAAACAAGTATGTAGGCCTAACAGGACAATTTGCTATTTAAAGAAGACGATGACGGCAGACTCACATTGGTTTCAGGGTATGCAGTATCTCTAACATCCAGCTTGTTCAGAGGCAGAAAAGTTACTTCTCCAGGTAGATTCATTTTATTGAACTCCATTAATATCTTGGTACTAACTTCATCAGAGTCTACAATATGATAAAAAAGCCTAACATGAAAAGAGAGAGAACAAAGTTGAATGAATGAATGTTTTATCTTAAATTAAAACTGCATTGTCTCCCCTCCTACATGCCATCAAGCACTACCAAGAAAAAAATTCTATGGAACCAAAAAGTTTCATGCACTAATATTTATTAGAAAAAAAGCCCAATTCACCATTTTAAGTGCTAGCAGACAATGGTTTAAAGTTAATATGTTCACATTGAACATTTCTACAGGAAAAAAGCCTAGTAATCAGAACTATACCTGTTTCCTGCAGTAACTTCAACACAGGTGTAGAAAGCAGGCTCACACTCGAAGTTATTCATTACTATTCCATGATAGCCATTCTGAACATGTTGGTTAATGCCTTTGCGACGGAAATGCTCCAAGACTTTGTTTATGCTGTCAATGCCATTTAGAATAGCCTGTCATAATAAAGCAGAATTACTTGAGCTTCCTATACTTTGTGGAAATAGGGTAAACCCCATCACTATTTCTCTCTCTCTTTAAGGATTTCCTCCACTTTTAGTTATCTTCAGTTTTATACCAACAGGGCAAAGTTATGCAATGATCATTATAATGCACACAGCACTGAATCCATTATTTGTTCAGACAAGTTAATATACACAGCTACTGAAGTTTAAGTATAGGGCAACTGTATGCACTTAAGCAAGTGATTGGTGACCACAGAAGCCAATTTAAAAAAACACAGTTTGGTATGTATTTGTGACTTGGTAAGTCATAAATACTTGTTTTTAATACAAATGAATTTGTCTTTAGACAGTTTTGATTTTTACTTTTGGCCTGACCATTCCCCACAAAATTCTTCGGAAGGAAAATTCTTCGGAAGGAAAAAGAACTATATTACTGTAATTTCTGAAAATCTCTATCATAATTATGACAGCATGCTACGACTCTCACCTTTCCTGTTGCTGCTCTAAGAAGCTGCTGTTTCTTTTCCAAGTCCTCCCGTTTTGCAGCAAGAGCTTGCTGTTCTGCATTCTCTTCTCTCCACAAGTAACTGAAAAAATAGTACACTTCCATATTACAAAACGTATCTTCAAGGAAAAACAGAATAAAATACCAGATAAGGGTAGTGGTATTAAGGCAAAGGTAAAGGTACCCCTGCCCGTACAGGCCAGTCTTGACAGACTCTGGGGTTGTGCGCCCATCTCACTCAAGAGGCCGGGGGCCAGCGCTGTCCGCAGACACTTCCGGGTCACGTGGCCAGCGTGACGAAGCTGCATCTGGCGAGCCAGCGCAGCACACGGAACGCCGTTTACCTTCCCGCTGGTAAGCGGTCCCTATTTATCTACTTGCACCCAGGGGTGCTTTCGAACTGCTAGGTTGGCAGGCGCTGGGACCGAGCAACAGGAGCGCACCCCGCCACGGGGATTCGAACCGCCGACCTTTCGATCGGCAAGTCCTAGGCGCTGAGGCTTTTACCCACAGCGCCAATAACCTTGTCCTAATCTAAAGCTTTCCGCGAGCATTTTTAATGCTATTAACTCTTTTGTTAAATCTCTTCTACAGTGTATAGCTCCTCAAAATGATTTATTATCCCTAACAAGAAGAGACAATATGTAATATATCTCTTAAAGTATCACTCCTTTTTTCTAACACAGCAAAAATCCTTGCCACCAAGTTTGGAGAACAAAAAATTAAATAGACAGTACTTCATGCAAGCCCCCTGCCTCCAGGTTTCACATTTTGGGAAATTTAGAATATTTTTGAAATAGCTAGAGTACTAAAAGAAGTGCAAGGGAAAGTTGGAGAACAGCCATCATATGTGGGAACCTGGAATTAAACAGAATTAAAAACCAGGCCCTAATTGCTAGAATCCATGAATAGTTCCCTCTGATAGTAAAACAGTGCTTACACATTCTCAAACATTTCTCCAGAACTATCATGGCTATAATCTCTGGAAAATATGAAAACTCAGATTCCCAGGAAGCTATATTCCACTCCATAATTGTTTTCTATCTCAACACAAATTTTATGAGTCAACTCCATGGGCTGGAGTATAACAGTGCCTATACTAATAAGATGACAGAAGTTCAAGCACTGCTATAATCTTTGCTTCCAGGTACAGTGCACTCTTCTGTTACATGGATGAATCCAACTGGTCCCCTTCCACTGACAGGAGGGATTTTGATTCATAAGTTGTGTGCACTAACATTAGTGATTTTTTTCAGTCCCTCTTCCCTTCTGCAACTCCCAGTAACCTGCTAAAACCAGCTCCAGAAAGTTGAAAGACCCTTCAGAACAATGTCGAAGGTGGCACGGGGACTGCAGGAGTCATCAGTAACAACAATGTTTCTTCCTTTTTTATTACCAAACATCTCTATTGGAACAAAAGCCCTATCCTGAGTGTGAGGGCCCCCAATGGATGGTACCCTATACCAATAATAAACAATGAAACCATATTTATTAATGTCTGAGTAATCAATATTTATATACATCACTGTACATATTCACACAACATAGGTTAGCTCAACCCTTAAAAAAAAATACTAACTTTCTCTCACTCTGTAGTTCATCTTTTTTGTTCTTCACTTCATAGTATTTTCTGTCCAGTTCTTCAACACGAGCTTTCACTTCATTAAGATCCTGATCCAGTTTCTAATGCATAAAGGAGATATTTTAAAATTCAGCATCTCATGATTTTAATTGACTCCGATACATTTTGTTCCCTTAAGCAGCAGAATTATGTTCAGAATAAAATAAAAGATCCTATTTACAGTTTATAGAGAACATTGATAAGAAACTAAAGCTACAACTGAGCAATTTAGATTTTTGGCTACGGTACTTTCAGCATAGGGTATATTTGACTACAAAGATGGAACAGTCATATTTGACAATTGCTTGGAAGGTTTTCATTCACGGCTCAAGCCCATGCGAACAGCGAAGTGATATGGAGTATGCTCTTTATATTGTACTGGCCCCACATACTCCAGATCCATTTTACATCTGCACATTTAATGAGCCCAGGTCCAACCTGCACAATCTTTGCTCTGCAACCCCCCCCCCCATTCAACATGTCCTATGCATGGAAACATGAGAGACCAGGTTAAGGGGTTAGTAGTTTACGTGAGGCAGGATTGGCCAGTAGAGTTCCAAACTCACACTGCATGTCTTCTAAAAATATTCAGAAAACAGGATGACAAAATATAGGGTTGAACTTGTAGCTTACTTAATTATACCATAATTACACCTCCAGTTTTTAAAAACAAAATCATGGAACTTTCAAGATAATGGGTTACATCCAACTGGGAGTTCACACAAGGTAGCTCACACAAGGAGAACTTGCCATTTCTTCTTCCTCCTCCTCACCACTCGCCCCCCCCCAAATGTATTCAAAAGTTGCAATACATTTTCTATCAGCATATCCCCTCCACAGACACCTCTGTGATGGTGGTGGCATTAAACTATGCTGCTCTTCTTCAATAAAAGAGAAAAAGGGAGACCAGATCGTGTCAAAGGTCTCTTTTTTTGAGATGCCTTTGATTAGTCACCAATGGTATGCCTCCTCCCCACCGATTCCTAGGTGTCATGACCTGGGACCCAGATGGAATATTGTGACCTAGGACGTATGTCAGAACCCATAGCAAGCACACCTGTGCTCACACCCTCTGTCATTGAACACATCTCTGATACTGTACACAAGTGACCTCAGCTTGCTAAGTGCTGAGGCTGCTTAAACACCTTATCACAGCCACAACCACAACTGTCCTGTATTGGAAATGTACTGGAAATATAGCCATCTCTCTCCTGCCTGCTTATTTTGCAAGGAATTCAGTGCTGTCTTGGCCTTGAAGCTTGGACAGCTTGCTAATTTTCCCTACAACCCTCAACTGTGAATAGAAGCTGCATTTTTGTCTTTTTGCTAACAAGCAGTGTCTCTCTTATCAGCTTCCAAAGCAGAGAAAAGCAAGCTAACCTTGGTAGATCTTCTAAGAAGAGAAGCAGTACATTCTTCTTACCCAGATTAGGCTTCATGTAACAGACAGAGAAAGGCTGGCAGTGTAGAATGCAACATTTGTATGAGTCAATAGTAAATTTATTTCCTTTGCTTAGAACTACAGTATTGCACAGTACGTAGGAGCATGTCTTGAGCATGCGTAGAGATAGCCAAATAGGATGGCTTAAGCTTCTGCCATAAATGCACTCTTTTCTATAATATTATTAAAGTTTTCTGCACCCTTTGTTTGGGGTTCCAGCTTTTCAGAGATATCTACCGGGGCCTCTAGATTTATGCTGCACCAACAAATATGAACTCTTTCCACGTGCTGAGTTTGTCTTCTTTTGGCTGAAGGATCAGTGTTTTTATTCCACCCTCCTTTGTAGGGTAACACCACAAGAGCGTCTCCTAATGCCTCCTTCTCACATTCCAGATGTTTCTCAAGGGTTCCCTGAACCTCAAGAGTATTTACGGGAGGGAGGGGGCAAGGAATTTTCACTGTGCCAGCATGGTGGTGAACGCAACCCAACGCATATGAAGCCACACCCAACATAAAGAAGCCCTGATTATATACAGTACTTATAATTTACCCTGATTCAAATATTTCTGTACCACTAAACTCAAATCCTTACACTATACTGCTCCAGATTCTTCTCTTTGTTAGCCTCCGTGTCTTCTAAATCTTTATGTATAGCAGCGATCTGCCGTTTCTTGTCATTGATAGCTTGATCTAAGGATTTCAGTTCTTTTTTAATCCATTTATCTCTCTCTTCTTTTGATGTAAACTGACTTCCTCGACCTTGCTTTGCATAAAGATCTGTTCTTTCCTGGGTGGCCTGTGCCAGTCTGTTGGAAGAGAAAAACATAACTGAAACCTTTTAAAATGAAGTTATAATGCTATAAACCTAACAGAGAAGCATATTCTTCATATTTAACATGACACATCAAATTTGAATTAAACTGTGGCAGGGAACTGAAAGAAGTCATTTCAAGAAACACTTGTGTTCTTTTCTTTCAATTTTGTTATTTAACAATTGCTTCTCTTTTAAACTTGTTTTATCACTTTCTACTCAATCATCTTCTATTTCAACAGGTCTCAGAAAGCAGAGAGAGAGAGAGAGAGAGAGAAAGCTTTGAACTTTTTTTGATAGTGAGGTAAGATATATACTATTTCCTTTATTTTATACTGTGTTTTGCTCAAATACCTATTATTATTATTTTGGAATTTTATCAAGCTCTCTCATTTAACTCCAACCATTAACACATTTACTCGGGAATGCAATGGGATTTACTTCTGAACAGACATCTCTAGGACTGCACTGTTAGGCTCAGATTGGTCAGCACTTTCAAACATAAAAATCCCAAGCCTCTATCTGTTGACAGAAAACATTTTGTTTTCAAGTGGCAGAAAGAAAACCCTAAGCTCTTCTACTCAATCCTGTGCCACTACCTCTTACGGAGGACAGCTCCATCCTTTCTAGTAGTATGTGTCTTCTCTCTCTTACAGGGAAGTTCAAAGATCATAGAATCATAGAGTTGGAAGGGACCCTGAGAATCATATAGTCAACCCCCTGCAATGCTGGAATATGCAGCTGTCCCTTATGGGGACTGAACCTGCAAACTTGGCATTATCAGCACCATGCTCTAACTGAGTTAACCATGCCAAATGTATTCCTAATTATTTTCTTGCTCATCGCATGATCTATACTAGAACCCTTCCAATTCCTTCACAAAAGAAGAGCTTGTATATGCAGAAGTATTCCTCATTGCACATGCTAAATATTTCCCTTTCATACCACTGCTAATCAGCACACAAACCTGGCAATTCCTCGTTCCTCTTTTTCTTTTACACTATTGAACTTTGGTTCTGTTTCTGCTAGTTCTTTCTGTTTTTCTTCAATTTTCTCAAGAAGTTTCTGCCTCTCTTTCAAGAGTCTTTTCTGGAAAAACAGACAACATGAAGGTCAACAAGAAGTAAGGGAAGTGGTTTATCAGAATGTTTTTAGGTGTGAAAGAATCAGTAGCTATAGAAACTCTAGAAATTATATGTTCAGAAAAGCTTTGGTTCAGTTTACAGCTTACGAAACTTCAAAGCAGCATCTGTGCATCCCCAATTTTAATAGAGCTACTTAGCAATAAGCTATCACAGACTGCTGCCTTTAACAAGAACAGTAATCTGTGAAGAAGCTCTTCTTGTCGAATGCTATTAAATAAGAACTTCAATAAGGAATTTATACGGACAGCACGAAAGCTTGATAATAGTTCAAATCTGAAATTGGCTGCTCTTATAGATTTTCTCAATATGTACCAACCGCAGACTATGTACAGACTTCTGTTTACTCTGCATCCATGGCACACTCAGCACTGGCTTGGAAAGTGGTATACAGTGGTACCTCGGGTTACATACGCTTCAGGTTACATACGCTTCAGGTTACACACTTCACTAAGCCAGAAATAGTGCTTCAGGTTATGAACTTTGCTTCAGGATAAGAACAGAAATCGTGCTCCGGCAGCCCAGCGGCAGATGGAGGCCCCATTAGCTAAAGTGGTGCTTCAGGTTAAGAACAGTTTCAGGTTAAGTATGGACCTCTGGAATGAATTAAGTACTTAACCCAAGGTACCACTGTATAAACAAAGTTAGCCATACTCCATATCTACTCTGTTGTTGCTTATGAAATATTGTACTTTAATGTGTTACCCCCCCAAAACCAGTTTTGATCCAAACAGAGAAAAAGAATGACCTTGCTGTGTTTTAATTAGAAAGACAGAACTCTTTTTCACTATGGCAGTCTAGATAACAGAGAACAACTGCCATCGTACCCAACTGTCCTTTTATAAAACTGAAGAATTATTTGCCCTGCAGTTTTTACATTCTATTTAGAGAGTCCCAAAAGACAAAATAAAATACACCTTGACATGTTATCCTACAACTAGCCTCCAGCCCTTACCCGTTGTTCACTATTTCCAGCCAGTTCATCTTGCAAGTCTTTCGTTTTAAGCTCTAGTTTGGTCCTCTGTTTAATCTGTTCCTGTCTTTCAGCACTGAGCTGCTCCTTTTCTTCCTTCATAGCTGAAATCTTGGTTTTAAGTTCTCGGACTTGCCGTTCAATTTCCTACAAACACATCAACAGAAGATTGGAAAAGTACAACAGGTTACATAATTTTAAAATTAAAACAATTCTCATTACATAATGATAGGTCTAGCCAGGGAGATGCACATAGAGTGTGACATGTCACCAAATGCACTCTTTATCAACAATGCATCATATGGATGAAAACATGCAATTCTGTCTTTTTCACACCCCATCCAGAGTCTCTGTTGCTTGTTACTATAGATTAAGGCAACTGTAAAACAGAAGCAACTACTGACTCATGTGCCCAATCTATGAGGACTTAGAGCAGCCTTGGGCAAAGATTTAAATCTCCCAGTTGAGAGATCTACTATTTGATTAACATTTATGAGTGAGCAGGTCTTCCTACACTTCTGAAAAAATGACCTGTTCTGCCTTTAGGACGGCAATTTTAAGGAGAAAAGTTTGTGGGGATGAAAAGTTAAATTCTTCAAGGGAGCAAATTCTCATCTGACAGAATGCCTTGTTTTAATAATTATTTAAACTGTGTGTTTTTTTTATTCTGTTTTTCACATTAAAGGTATTTATGAAGTTTGTTTTTTTTGTAATGGCTTTGGCTACACGAATAAATAATAATATTTGTTTAAAAACAGTTCTTTAGATCAGAACAGTTCTGATCAGGACAATGAAGACCTCACCTCCATTTTATCTCGAGCATCCTGCTGTGCATCTCTCAATTGCCTTGATTTTTCTCCACTTGTTTCCCTTTTGGCAGAAAGCTGAAAAAACATCAGTTGTGGGTTAACTATATTTTTTTAAACATATGTTGAAAAACAAACGCTGGTAACGAAAAAAATAATATATAATTTAAAAATGGCTTACCTCATCAAGTTTAGCCCTGGTTTCATTAAGTTCCTGATTATAAATGGTGTACTCCAGTGCTCTTCTCATTTTATCCCACTTTTGATATTGAGCAAGCTCTTCTTTCTCCTCTTCCAAAGTATGTAATCGCTCTTCTATATATTTCAACAGCTCATTTATTTTCTCCCTTTTCCCCTCTTTAGAAATGATTTAAGAAAGAGTTTAGAAGACTAAGTTAGTGCAGACAATAAGTATCAGGATTCTGTCATTAAACAGAACAACAAAACCAACTACATGGCAGAAATGCTCTTTTAAACAACATGTCCTATCTGGGGGAAATCCACTAAGCATATTAGCTTGTATTCTCAATGGTTATGATAAAAAGTTGCCTATGATTTCATTATTTATACTAAATCTCAAAATCAATTATTCATATTTTCTATGGTTAAAAATAACCAAATGATAAAGCAGAGTAAACCACATACAGCATCATTAATGATTTAATTTAAAGGAAAAATAAAGAGATTAATTGAAAGAGACTCCTCATAACATGAAGGCAGGTAGCAAACAGCTAGACCGCAACTAGGGATAAATGTGCAGTTCCCAGTCTGATTCTGCCCTCTCAGTCTGATTCTGCCCTCTCAGGAAAATCACCAATAACTCCAGTAAGCTCTTTGGGAGAGTAGCTGGATTTAGGCAAGTCACGTGCACCTTGAACAACGAATCAACATGACTGATTTATGGCAGGGAACCCTTTTTCTAGCCAAGGACCATGAACCCTTCTGGACAACACTCTGGGGGCTACATGCTAGTGGTGGGAGAGCCAAGAGAGAAAAGTGGGTGGAGCAATGAATGTGAATTTTACCATTTTACAGTACACTAGTTTTACAAACACACTCCTCTCTCCTCCATCTGGACAAGCAAGAGTCATTATCAGAGTTCAAGGACACACTTCTAGTAAGCAAAAACATTCAAGGTGGGCATACAGTAGAGCTGGTGGGATGTGTGGCCTGAGGAGACAGGGTGTTAGCCTGAAAAGGCTCCTCAGAGGCCTGATAGGCTGCATTTGGCCCCTGGGCCCAGGGTTCCTTCCCCCTGCTTTATGGGGCTAAATATGCACAACCTTGGTAGAAACATGCAGATATGCAGTTGGACCATAATGGATGCATCATAGAATTCTACACCATAACAATAATTTCCAGATTGTGTCTTAGCTCATTGTTTCATATCCACTGTTTCAGTGCATTCTCAGCAAGCCAGAAAATACACTAAATATATCAAAGTAACATGACATGTAAATATTTTGAAATGCTACTGAATGAGAATTTTTACCTGTTTCTTTCATTAAGGAGATGCTCTCTTCTTTACGTTCATCATATACCCTAGTGCCAGCTACTTCTCTTAACAGTTTTAATCTCTGAGAGTCAGGAGCTGTGGCCATCTGGTTGATCTAAAAATAAAAATAAAAGTAAGAATAATGTAACATTTTGGACACAGTTTGAAAAAGCAACAAGTAACTATAAAGTTTTTCATAAATGCTTTTTTAGACGAAATTTTTTTCAACAAAATCTCCAATGATACTGCTGCAGCAGCATTAGCAATGATGAGCAGATGTCACTGTCAACACAATACTAAGCAGGGGTTGTCAACCTGGTCCCTACCGCCCACTAGTGGGCGTTTCAGGATTCTAGCTGAGCGGTAGGGGGTTCTACGGCACAAGCTGAATCCTCCTTCCATCAAGCACTGGTGGGCGGTAAGGAAATTTTACCATCAAGAAAGATGCATTAGTGGGCAGTAGGTATAAAAAGGTTGACTACCCCTGTGCTAGAGTAAGGAAAAGACTTGTATATTTTGTAACTAGTGTTAACAAATGTTTGGTGAAAACTCAACCAATCTATATGACTAAAACTGATACTATCAGGTCTATCTGAGCATACAAAGTTATATGCAATTTTCTCATCTGAAACTATGACTGTATAGGAGATTCTTTAGGAAAAAATAATTTGGTATAATTAATTTATCACTGCTCAAACATTCAGTTCAAATTGTCACTATCATTATGCTACTGCTACACTCCAGCACCATAAAAACGTAACTGACAGAAAGAATACCACAAGAATTGAAGCACGCTAACCAGACAGCAGCTACAGTCACATATCATGGGATTTTTCAAATTATTATGAACACATCAAATGATTAAGGAAATATACATAAATTAAAATAGAATGTAAAATAATATGCCTACTTATTTGAGAACTACTTCTCTTCGCATTCAAGTTACTATTGTTCTTTGTTCAAAGGATAGTAATCATCATACCTTTCCTTGCTTGACAATATAGTAGGGGTTGCTGCGAGAAAATCCAGCACTTTCAAGAAGGTTCATCACATCATTTTTCCTGGAAGCAAGTTTTCAAACAGTAAAGCTTTCAGTGGATCAGTTTAGAATGAGCTAAATAATACAGGACAAAAATAACAATTGGCCTGCTTCCATTAGACTCAGACATGAAAATTTCTTCTGTTTCATTTAAGTGCTTGCTGCTCAGTCCTCCTTCTATACGGGAAGTAACAGGTCAAACACAGATGACAGAATACTTGCTACTGAAATATCATTACCCCCCCTTTTCCCAATTCTTGGCACCAAACTTTTGCAATTCATTGGCACAAGCTCTTCCTTGTCCTCCAAATATATTCTAGTTTTAATTTTGCTGCCGCCAATAAGTATCTCACCAATTTAGGTGATATACTTGTTGGGAGCACCAACTTACCGTATTTTTCGCCCTATAGGACGCACTTTTTCCCCTCCAAAAATGAAGGGGAAATGTGTGTGCGTCCTATGGGGCGAATGCAGGCTTTCGCTGAAGCCTGGAGAGCGAGAGGGGTCAGTGCGCACCGACCCCTCTCGCTCTCCAGGCTTCAGGAGAGCCGCAGCGCCAGCCCCACAAGGTCGGGGGACAGCGGGGAGGCGGAACGCCGCCATCCCGCTGTCTCCTGATGTGGTTTGGAGGCTGACGGCGGGGAGACGCGTGCTTCTCCCCGCCGCCAGCCCCGCAAGCTCCGGGTACAGCTGGGAGGCGCAGCGCATCTTCCCGCTGTCCCCGGACCTGGTCTGCAGGCGGGCAGTGGGGAGAAGAGCGCTTCTCCCCGCTGCCGGCCCCACAAGCGCCTGGGGGGGAAAATAGTTTCCCCCCCTTTATTTTCCCCCCAAAAAACTTGGTGCGTCCTATGGGGCGAAAAATACGGTAGGTGCTGTTTAGGTTTGCATGGATTCTTATTTAGACAAATGAATACCTCCAACAGGAGTGTGAAATACTAGGTGCCCTGACCTTCCGTATTCTTTCTCTTACTGTTTCCAATAGGCATTAACTTTCAGACATGACCAGCATAGGTGAAGACAATTCTTTTTTAATGCAAAAGACTCCAGCATAAAGTTAAACCAATTATTTAAAACACCTGCCTTAGGATCATTTTCTAGAAACTGTTCCAGGCAAGCTGGGAAAGCTGACTAGCAGTGCAAAATTCATGATCACTCAGAACTGAATCCCTGGCATGTACTCTTTAGCACATGCATTTAATAATAATAATAATTTAAAAAAAATATTTATGTCCCGCCCTCCCCAGCCGAAGCCAGGCTCAGAGCGGCTAACAACATTAAAATGATACAACATTCTAAAATCATTTCATTATTAAAAAAATTCAAATCAAATTAATGGCAACCATTGGGCTAAAGTTCTGTGAGGATTGCCAAAGGAAGGGGTCAGGCTGTGCCCTGGCCAAAGGCCTGGTGGAACAGCTCTGTCTTGCAGGCCCTGTGGAAAGATGTCAAGTCCCGCAGGGCCCTAGTCTCTTGTGACAGAGCATTCCACCAGATCGGAGCCACAGCCGAAAAATCCCTGGCTCTGGTTGAGGCCAGCCTAACCTCTCTGTGGCCCGGGACCTCCAAGACGTTTTTGTTTGAAGACCGTAAGGTCCTCTGTGGGACATATTTGCTAACCCAAAGATTGCAGGATCCTTTTTGAAAGCAAACCAAGAACTTTTCCTTTAAATAGTTTGTGTCTTGCCAAATGCAAGGTGGCAATTTGGAACCTTTTTTCTTCTTTATTTTACTGCCAGAAGATGAATACTTGTTTGCTGGAAACTCTGTGAGTTACACATTCACTTATTTGCAAAAATAAATGCCTGTGATTTATTCTAATGTGTACTTCCACGTGGAGTGTTTGTTTAAAGGTGGATGAGGGCAGATACAAATCTAACAAAGCTTTACTGTGCTTGGTGCAAATGCCAGAGTTGGACTGTCTATCCCAAACCTCTCTCCCCAATATGGAATAACACCCCCCAGAACAGCAAGTGGAGGGTGTGCAGGCAAGGTGCAACTTTCTGCAACGTCTTGGAGAGACACAAAGATTGGAAGAGCACACCGCTGAATTCCACCTACAATGTTTCAAGCCCCTTCGCCCACAAACAAACATGAAGACTGAAACAGTAATCAAAACTGTTTTTCAGAAAAACTAAATACTGAGATTTTCTAGGTTCCAAAATGAACTTGCAGGCATCAGAAGAGGACCCAGCTATGAGCAAGCAAGCATCGCATACTTGTCATTCATCCTGGATTCCTCCTATTCATTTGTCAACTAAATATAAAACGTCTCTAGTTGACTTACATACATGATTTTTAAAATGATTGTCAAGTTTAACAATAAAACATTCCCCCCCCCAAAAAAAAACTGTTATGGTGTACATTTAATCCAGATTTGGTTTAAAAGAAAAAAGGAACTGCGCTTACGTCACCATTTTCTTGTCTAGGAAATACTGGTCCTTTTTAGCGCCAATGACTCTGCGAAGAGATACTTCTTCTTTATCAATCTTAATAAAACAGAAGGGCAGATATTGCAAACTATGCCTCTTAATATAAACTAAAGAAAACAAGCTGATGTACACTATTTTTAACTTACTGGTAACCTGTTGTCCGAGTTGTCAAAGATGATTTCCACAAAAGCAGAAATAACACGAGGACCTGTGCCTTCCTAAGAAAGATCATCATATTAATCCACATTTTAAAGTGTGTACTTTGTATTACAATCTTCCCCATGCCATTCCCATTTTTCAGTGATTTAATAGCTTTGTAACAACTTTTTTTCATTTGTTTTCTAAATTAGACTGCTCTAATGAAGCCTTTTGGTGGGAAACCACTAATGAATTTAAGTATGAAACTAAGCTAACTTCAGATTCTCAGGGGGGGGGGGGGAATCTGTCTGAGCATGTTCAAGGCCTCTTGTTCTAAGTGTACATCTGTATCTCTAAGCAAGTAAACCTTTTCCAAACAATGGAATGCCTACTGTTTATGGAGGGATTTTTATTCCATCTTTCCCCTCAAAGAGTGCCCAAGACAGCTGATCAAGGTAAACCCCAAAAGTATAAATAATAGCATCACCTACTTATCATTTCAACAAATGCAAGTAACATGCACTATTATTCCAGCTAACTATTTTACAACAATAGCATGCTCACATGTAACTGTTATCTTCACTTACATGCAACAAAGCCAACCTTTGTTCAGGACGAAGATGACTGAATTCATCACTGAGAACAAACTGAATTGCTATAATGAAGAAAATAAAGATAGATGTTAATTTTTAGGATTCTGTTCAGAAGTATTCAAAACTATCAATCAACAGTTTTTATGAATCTCTTATAAATAACAGCATAGGTTGCATTCAATGTGTTGCAAAACTTGGACAAATGTTAAAGCAAGGATCTCTTCAGGAATTTTTCAATTACTGCAGTCTGAAGCAGAACCCAGATGCCTGCCCCACAATGACCAACTAAATAATAATAACGCTTTGAGAGACACCGTTTCCTGCTTTCATCTACTCTCTCCCCCCAAAACACACACTCCACTAGGTCCACTGCCAGGCATTAGCCAGCTTCTGGCCATGGATATCAACCACTAAACATGCCACCCACTCAGCAAATGAAACCCATTGCCAGAGTGAAGGAGGTTACAAGAGAAGGGGATTAAAAGAAACTCATCTGTCTTGAAATTAACATTCCCCAAGCAATGCACTTCTCAGGCAAGGCACATAGGGATATGGAAGGAGTTGGAGAAGACATTTTAGATTATTATACATAAGCTTTCACTTACCATAGAAAAAGTTGCTTTTTCCAGAACCATTTCGGCCCACTAAAAAGAAAAAGTAAGTTACAGGTTAAATTGTGTATTTTCAGTAACTAAATGTTTCTAAATTGAGGATTATAGCTGTAAAACAGATAGACAAATGTATGTAAAGAGTGGAAGATCAATGACAATAAATTATAAGGTTGGCGGAACTGCCACCTGACCCATCCCCATGGGACTCCATTGTGTGTTATCAACTCTGCAGCTCAGCAGAGTGAGAAAGACTCTTTAACATGTGTTTGTCCTGTATAATTGCCCCTTCTCATTTGAACGCCAGCAACAGCCAGTCACTTTGTATGGGAGAGCGAGAAGGAGGAGACCAATTCATTTGTCTGCAGAAACCTTCAAGCCCTTCAGGGAAAAACTATATATACACTCAAGGAATAGCAACCACCTCACTATGAAGAACAAATAATATTTTTATCACCTCCATGAAGAGGCTCACTTAAACGATACACATTTAATATTATAGTCATTGTCCTAGAAAAACTTACCAATGACATTATGCTTTGAACTGAAGGGATCTACTATAGTCTGATCTCGGTAGCTTCGGAACCCCTGGATGATCACCTGAAATAAACAAGTGCAAGTTTTTAAAGTGGCCAACAATACCATCATTATTTCCTATCATCTGCAGTTTTTATAACTACATGTTTTAAAAGAGTAATATTTTTCAAAGTAATATTTTTCAAATTCAAACAATATTCATTGTTGTACTTTCTAAGCTACAAGTTATTTGAGAATTAGCAGGAATCATATTTGGGGAAGGACTATATAGTCACTAGGAAGCATTAATGGATGAGCAGCTGGAACAACAGCAGCAGCAACATCCAATGCCCTAAAATAATAGACATTGTCTATTATCATCTCTCCAGGTTTGTTTGTTTTTTACAAACTTTATATACCACCGAGAAATCTTTGTTAATATTAATTAATATTAATATTTATTTATACAGTTCCTAATTATCACAATCCTATAAAGTTGCCCCAAATCAACAACTCATCAAAGATATGCAGAAAATAAAACCTGGTTTTGCTGCATCAAATCATACCCTTTACATGGCATTGCACCGGCTCACTTTTGGCTCTTCAGCCCAAATTCTATATATGATTAAGCCAAGAACTGAACAATAGCTTTTACTTTGTTACATTTAGCCAAATCATATTAAATCAATAAACTCCTTAAAAAGCCAGATCTTGCCAGTGTGACATGTAAACATGAAACAATACCACTAATTACTAAACAGCTAGCATCATATATATAATGTTTGCAATTCTGCTAATACAATAATTTCAAAAAAAAATTCACACCCAACTCAGTAATTTAAGTACATGAGTTCAGCCTGCAAAGAAGCCACACAGGAGTGAACCCTTATCAGTGCTTGGAATGTGGGGAAAGTTTTGCTTGACAGCCAAATTTTGCAGCACTTAAGAGAATCCGCACAGAAGAGAAAGCCTATCAATGTTTGAAGTGTGTGAAATACCTCACTCAGGACTCACACCTAAGAATGCACAAGTCCACACAGGAGAGAAACCTTATGAACATCCAGATTGTGGGAAATGACATACTCAGGGGTTTCATCTTGGAAGTCACCTGGCGACCCACTCTGGACAAAAAGAGTGCATATGCCTACAAAGTGGGAAATATTTTTCTTACATATCCCTCCTTGCTAGTCATCGGAGAGTGCATACTAGAGAAAAACCTTACAAGTGCCTTCGAGTGTGGTAAATGTATCAGTCTGAGCACACACCTCAGGACTCATTGCAGCTTGCACACAAGAGAAAAACAATATAAATGTCTGGAGTGTAGGAAATGTTTCAGCCTGTACTTTTGATCTATCAGAAAGTCGACATGTGACACCAACAAAATCATGCTAAACCTTGAAAACCCCATACAACACAAACTTTGTAGACAGGCCATGCCTCCCCAAACAGTGGAAAACAATGAACCAAATCCACACAGGAAAGGTATGTATGAATGGCTTTCATGATGGGAAAAGACACTGCCTGTATAAACTATCTGTTCATTAAAAAAAATGAAAATTATCCAGGGCTAGTGGGGAGAAAAGGAACCCATATATAGGAAAGAAGATCTGTGGATACCATCCAGAGAACACTTAAGATTCAAAATAGAGTTTTGATAAGAAATCTGAAGAAACTGCACAATAGGGTATAAAATGTCCATGTCCTTTGAAAATTAGACAAAGAGTTGTAAGCTGAAAAATGGTTCCTTGCTTCTCTTTTTGTGCTGGTTTTTGACAGTGATGCATGTTACCTTCCAAATGGCCACACTTGTACATGATGTTAAACCCTATTTTGTTTTGAACTATGGTTTAACATGAATAAGCTTCCCCTGCTTTTTCTTGATGTGCTAGCATTGTGTTGTGTGCACCCACCTTGTGGTTTGAAAGAAACCATGAACACCTAGCTAGAATAAGTCAAGGGTAAATAAAATGCAAAAACAAAAAAAGAAAACCCCACAGTTCGCAAGAGTAGTTCCACATAGTCATAGTGCAGATTGAGAAAGTGGGGAGGTCATCTTTAAATTCAATATTGCAGGTTTAGCTTTCAGCTTAAGTTAAGTGTAAGTTTCAAGTTTCAGTTGCAATGTTTAGCTGATAAGCTGAAAAGTGGGCTGAAGATAAAGTTAAAAGTTGAGCTTTGGCTAGGTTTTTAAACCAGTTAGAGATTATTACGTTTTTATCTCTCTTAGTGCCAAGGAGAATGCAAATCAGAGTCTCAAAGTGTCCTTGGGAGATGCAGCTTTTCACAATAGGCAGGCAGGCAGAGAGCTGTCCTATGTACAACTGTCAGGAGCAATGCCTCAGTACCTTCCACATGTGCTGCATTAGGAGGATTTGGGGCATCACATGGCAGGACAGCTTCAAACAAAGATGTGCTCTCCCAAGCCCACATTCCCAGCACATTTAAATTTTGTCTCAGCAACATCTATGTTGGCTTGGTCATGTCCACAGAATGGAAGATGGCAGGATCCCCAAGGATGTGCTCTATGGGTAGCTGGCTGACAGCACCAGCAGATTGGCAGACCGGCTCTTGTGACACAAAGATGTCTGCAAACATGACATGAAGGCTGGCAACATCAACCCAACCATGTGGGATGTCCTTTGCAGACAACTGCAGTGCCTGGAGACAAGACAGTCTGGTTGTGCATCCACAACAATGACCATAGGAGGAATGACAGCACCAAGAGAAGAAATGCCATGGTGCATCTGCAGCACTACAACCGGATGCCTTCATCTGCCCTAGCTGCAACAAAACATGTCTCTCCCCATTGGTCTCTACAGCCACAGCAGGCTCTGCAACCTTCCAACGGTTTGACTTCACCGCCAAAGGCGAACTCTCCCTGAGACAGATGCACAACTACGTGCATGGGGCCTTTCTTCTATGGTGGAGGGGGAACTGTCCAACCATGCAAGCCCACCTGCAATCTGAAGTGCTGCAATCCAGGTTTGCCCCCCTCACCTACTACTGTTGGTGAGACCATAGCTTTTAAACGCAATGCAGGGACCTTCCTTTAACAAACTTAGAGAGGTCTGAGAAGGGAATACATACTTAAAAATTTTTTAAAAAGCATTTCTGTTTTCTAGCATTCACATAATCCTGCCTTTTAACTGGATCCTTCCGGATTCTGAAGAGGAAAGTCTACCCCTGCAATGACACACCGCTGCCAATATGGTATTCTGAACGTCGGCTCCAGATGGGCCCCATGACTTCCCAGTGTTTACATCTCTCCCCGCCATGCACTGCAATACGCAGGACATGGGAGAAACCACCTCTCCCCTCTCCCCCCCGCAAGTCTGAGAAAGAGGACCCCCCCCACCGCCCCTCATTCGAAAGTGGGATCCGCCAGAAAGGCCCTTTCGGAGATGACAGCCTCGGCCGCCCCCTCCCTCCATCTATGGGATCATCCCGTGAGGAGAAAAAGCCTCCCGAGCCAAAAGCCACCGCAGCCCCCCTCGAGCCGAAGCCCCTCTTCTCCCTCCCCAAACCAGATCCCCCCCCCACCGAAATATCGTTGCCAGCGTCGCCCTCCCCCATCAGATACTTTAATAAAGCCGCCCTCCCCTGCGACAGCGGAGCCGCCTCATCACAAAAAAGAGGCCCCATCACTCCGTTTACCTGTTTGATATACATGCTGGCGGCGGCCTCTCCTCAGCGCTGAGCCCGCCCCGCTCACAAACCACGGACAAAATGGCGGCGAAGCCTCCCCGATCCCGTTCGCCGCGGAACGCACCACTTAGTCTCTGGAAATAGGAGGGTTGGGAGTACACCCGGGAAAGGAAAGCACGAAGAGGCAGCGGAAGGCGCCCGTCCCTTCCCACGTCTTGAAAGCGTGTTCTACCTGCGGTTTTCGCGCCGCATTCAGGATTCGGTGAAAAAGGCCCGCCAGCTAATAACGCGTTTCTTCCCCCCCACCTCGTAGGAATTGGTTCAGCCCGACATGAACTTGTGTTGGGCGCCAAGGCGAGGACAGCCAATGGGAGCGGGAGGAGAGCGCCAAACAGGAGGGCCGCTGGAGCGCAGAGGGAGCGCTAGAGGGCGCTCGTCATTGTAGTGAAGGCGGGGCGGGGGCGTTCTCCGAGTGCCAAATCCCCCTCCCGGATAAGAGGGAAGTGTCAGCATTCTTGGGAATCCTCCTGGTGGCTGCAGAAGTTCAGAAAGAAAAATCGGGGAGGGGATAACGAAAGAGGCAACAGCCCGGTTCGAAATGATGGCTGGTTGTTGAGGGCGGGGAGCAGAGAATTTGTGGGTGAAGAGAGGAATGGACCCTCATAGAAAAAGAGGATGGAGAGATAGTTCCCTCTCCACCCTGCAACATTTTGTTGTAGGTTCTTGCAAAGCATGTAACATTGCTTATGTCGTAAGCACCGCCTTTTAAAAAGCAACCAAGGGTATTGTGGCCCCTGAAGGACCCACGGAAGCTGCAGTTCTTTTGCACGTATATGCAGCAACATGTAAACCACCCCAAAAAGCTTGCAGTACTGTATGCGCAACCTATAGGTCCCTTAGCACCTACAAAATATCACCTCAAAATTTCACAATTCACAAGCTCTTCCCGTGCAGCTTCTGTTTACAGTGGCTTGGACTCTCCCCAAAACTGAACTCACCCACCCCTCTCCCAAACATGCCCACATTTGATTGCCAGGATTGGACTCCCACAGTGGTGCAAAGAACATCTGAGTGTGATGGTGGCTGATGTAGGTGCTTTTTTCTGTTGACTGAGCCAGGGAAGCCCATATCATTTTGTGTTCCGCCGTTCCGCACTCACACACCCAAATGCAGCCATTTTGCATTATGCCACAGAAACTATTTTATGATAGGTGTCCATGACACTTTTGGAAAACTCCAAATGTGCCCACTGGCCCCAAAAAGTTGACGACTCCAATCTCCAAGCAGAGGCAGATTTAGGGTGACTGGTTCAGTCGCACCACAGGGGGCACCACAACTATGATGCAGAATGGAAGGTGAGAGGTTGGGGGGAGCACTGAATTTTGGTGTCAAACCAAGCACTGCTGAAATGTGAAACCCCAAAGTCCACCACTGCTCCAAGGAATAACCATAGCCACACATGTTATAGCACGTGCAAGAAACATCATTTCATTTTTCATACATGGAGACAATCTTCATTTTGAAAATGACAAATATTGCACTATATGAAGGGTAGTGTGAGTGTTTTTGCTATGGGTTAGTTTCTTGGGTAACTGATATACCCAATGGATGTCTAATAGAAAATACTTGCATCACTCTGCTTATCTGTTTCCTGTCACCCCTAATCAATATAAATTGGCATTCTCCTAGATTTCTCTCTTTCATTTTTATTTTTCTGTTTAAGTTTGTAAATGAAAAAAGTGTAAAAGGAAAGTTATTCTTTTACTATCAAATATTAATATAATGGATTATAAATTTAACAATTCTTTTGTAGTCATTTCTGTAGTCCCTGCTGCTTATCTCTTACCTCTTATCAATGCTTAGGATGCAATCCAAACTCCTGGCTAGCAGTGTGGGACTTAATGGAGTGAAGAGGTTCCCACCCCATCCATAGCCCTGTTGCTTATGCCAACCATGGCAGAAGAAGGGAGGCAGGGAAAAAGCTCTTCGCTGTGGCAGCTCCCAGGCTTGCGTAATGAAGATCCCTGGATCAGGTCCACTGCTGCCACATGATGCCAGCATGGCTTGCTCAGAATTCAGTGGCTCTTGTGCCATCCCAGTTTTGCATCTTCCCTTTCCACAGGCTACCACCAGCAGGGAACTCTCTCTGAGTGACTTTGCTTGGCACGTGAGTGGGGAATGGGTACCATGGAAGCATTTACAAAGACCACATCTATGAATTTTCACAGGATTCTATTAGTCTTTCCCATATGAAATATGGAAAACTGAGGCCAACTGCTTGCAAGTACTATACGAAAAATAACATGCTGATTGAGTGCTATAAAGGCCACAAAATAATCTGAAGGAATAAAGAGAAAATTGTTATTTCTACTTACTGTAAATTATAGCAATTTTAGGCACGACGTGTAACAACAGTGGGAAGAAAATTTACCAGAGGAAATGGGATTTTCACCTTGACAGCATCTCATTTTAGAAGTGTAATTATTATCAAAATCAATTTGTATGTATAATAGAATTTTTGCAACTAGCCCTTTTCCTATTAAAACAAATCTGTTCAGAACATAATTGCCTGGTTCCTGTCTCTCTGCTGTGAGCAGTAGATATTGGCCAATTACTTTTCTTTATCATTAGCATTCCAACATCACAAAGTGCTCTTAGCACTCTTCTAATAGCAATAATAACAACAACACCTGAAGGAATAGTTTATGCTGAGAACACTGCCAGTAAGGGTACTTATTTAGGTTTTAATCCCATCCAAACCCAAAAGCTCTGTGTGGGTAAGAATTCTTAAAGCACATGCACAATAGCCAATTAAAATCAGTAAATCCATAAAACCCTTTAATTAAATGAAGCGCTGTTAAGCTGCACATATACTTGACCTTTTCTTGGGAGATTTGCTGTTGGCAGGCATTCTAGAATTCCGTAGGCTCCTTTGCCTTTAATAGCTGCATGACAAGCAATAAGTCAACTGTTTGAAGCCTCCCCCTATTATCTCAATTCTAGGGGTGTGGTGGGGGTGAAATCACACTTTGAACTTGTTCTTTATTCTGAAGGTCTGAATTAAAGAGACGGGGCGGAGGAGTTGGTGTCCCAACCACTCATGGTTAGGAAGTTTCCTCAGTAACTAACGAAATCATGCTTTCCTACACTTAAAGAATGTTATTATGTGTTTCAACTTTCCACCTCACAGCCTTGCATTTGTAAATTGTTATCAGTACCTCTTCTATTAGAAATGATAGAAATGTCAGTGCAAAAAAAAACCTGGACTGCCAGTAGTGCATATGAAAACATCTAGGGGTCTTAGTAGACCACAAGCATAACAGTGTGATGGCAGCAGTAAAAAAAACCTAAAGCTATTCAGGCTGCATTAACAGAAGTAGTGTCCAGATCAAGGGAAATAATAGTCCTGCTCTGTTCTGCCTTGGTCAGACCACACCGAGAATACTGTGCTCCATTCTGGGTCTCACAATTTAAGGAGGATATTGACAAACTGGAACATGCGCAGAGGAGGACCAAGATGATCAAGGGTCTGGAACCAAGCCTATGGGGAACAGTTGAGGGTGTTGGGTATGTTTAGCCTGTAAAAAGGAGACTGAAAGGAGATGTGATAGCCATCTTAAAATATCTCAGGGGTTGCCACATGGAAGATGGAGCAAGCTTGTTTTCTTCTGCTCCAGAGGCTAGGACCTGAACCAATGGCTTCAACTTACAAGAAAGGAGATTCCTACTAAGCATCAGAAAGAACTTTCTGACAGTAAGTGTCACAGTCCGGTTCACGGGCAATCAAAGTCCCGGCCGGGGGCAAGATGGCGGGGTGGGAGCAGGAATGCGAGTCCAGAAGCCAGGAGTCAAAAAGCCAAGAGTCCGAGGGTCAGAGAGCTGGGAGTCAAGAAGCCAAGGGTCTGAGGGTCAGGAAGCAAGGAGTCACGAAATCAGGGGTCCGAGGATCAAGAAGCAAGGAGTCAAGGAGCCAAACACAGCAAGGCAGGGAACATGTTGCTGTGGCAAAGAGCCGAAGGGAAAATGCTGACTTTATATACCTTCCCGGCTCTTGCCACCAGGTGCTGTGAGTTACCAATCGGCCTCACCTGTGAGGCTGCACCTTGCCTCTTCAGAACAAACTTAGGAAGGCCCCAGTCCTGCAGAGTCCTATTGGTCACAGGGCCTGGCTCCTGCACGCACACCTGACAGTAAGAACTGTTCAACAGAGGAACCAACTCCCTTGGGAGGTTGTGGACTGTCCTTCCTTAGAGGTTTTAAATAAGAGGTTGGATGGCCATCTGTCATGGATGCTTTAGTTGAGATTCCTGCATTGCAGGGGGTTAGACTAGATGACCCTTGGGTCCCTTCCAACTCTGCAAATTTTATGAAATGAAAGGAATTACTTATTCACGCAGTGCATAGATAGACCATGGAATATTCTCCCACAAGAGGCAGTTATGACCACCAAGTTGGACAGCTTTAAAAGAGGATTAGACAAATTTGTGGAGTTCAAAGCTATCAGTGGCTGCTAACAGCGTCAGAGGCAGTATGCTTCTGAGTGCCAGCTGCTGGAAACCACAGGAGGGGAGAGGCTGCTGTGCTCATATCCTGCTTGCAGGCTTCCCATGGGCATCTGGTTGGCCACTGTGAGAACGGGACACTGGACTAGATGGGCCTGATCCAGCAGGACTATTCTTATTTTTATTCTTGCTGTCATCCGAAGATCACAGGGTGGTTTACAGCATAAAAATACAAAATGCATAACATATTTTTTTTAAAAAAGAAAACCACACATTTAAAAGGTCATAAGGTGTTTAACAGCCAAAGTTCTGTCTGAAGAGGAATGTTTTCACCTGGCACCTACGTTCTTATCTACAGTAAAGTGTAGATCAGGATTCTTCAAACTCGGCCCTCCAGATGTTTTTTGGCCTACAATTCCCATGTTCCCTAGCTAGCAGGACCATTGGTCAGGGATGATGGGAACTGTAGTCTCAAAAACATCTATTGGGCTGTGTTTGAGGAAGCCTGGTGTAGATGAATGCAGGAAGTAGTGCACAAGTCAATCAGTAGGTGACACTCTGCACCCTTCTTTGAACATAGGATGCTATCATATACCAGGTCAGGTCAAACTTATCCAGCTAGCCCAGAACTGCCTACTCCAGCAAGCAGTGACTCTCTCCAGTTTCAGGCAGAGATCACTTACTACCTTAATTCAAGATGCCTGGGATCTCAGCAAATAAGGTGCTGTACTACTGAGTTATGGTTCCTTCCCATGGTGGGCCAAAGTTGCCCAGCACTGCAACATTTCATCTACCTCTTCTTAAATGAACTGGTA